TGGACAGACCGAGAGAGTAAATTCAATACTGGAACAGTACCTACGAGGGTATATCGACTATCAGCAAACGGACTGGAGCACCCTTCTACCGATAGCAGAATTTGCATACAACAACGCAACACACTCAACAACAAAAACAACACCATTCTTTGCCAACCTCGGCTACCATCCGAAATTCACCATCACCATCCCAAGAGTCTCGAAGGACAATGTCCCAGCCCAGGAACGCGTCCAGGCCCTAAAGAACCTCTATGCGGAGATGCAACTCAATATTCACACCGCCATTGAACAGCATGCCAGGAACTTCGACACCAAGGCCCAACCACAACCCAATCTGCAAGTAGGAGATCTTGTATGGCTAGACGCCCGGAACCTCCAAACGAACAGACCATGCAAGAAGCTCGACCATAAGCGCATGGGCCCTTACCGTATTCTCGAAAAAATCGGCACTCGATCCTTCCGTCTCGATTTACCACCAACGACCAAGCTACATCCTGTCTTTCATGTAAACTTACTTGAGCGTGCGCATCCAGATACGATCCCCGGTCGAGCCTCAAAACGACCTCCTCCGCTTGTCGTCTCCGGCGATGAGGAGTACGAGGTTGAGGCCATTTTGGATTCACGGATCAGGCGCAACCACCTTGAATACTATATACATTGGAGAGGCTACCCCGTATCCGAACGAACCTGGGAACCGGCCGCCTGTGTCAAGAATTCCCCGGACCTTGTTCGCGAGTTCCATCTGCAACACCCTCACAAACCCAGCCAAAGGCCTCTTGGAACTCGGCCCTAGAGGGGGAGGTTGTCACGAGACAAGAGCTTGCTCTTGTGACTTCGCCCTAACGAGTATAAAAGGGCCTTAGATAGCAAATCTATAGCTCTTTACTTGGTATCGCCAATACAACATACTCTTTAACCTATTCCTTATACTCATTTCTTAGTCCTTGATCAAGGTTCTCTTTATCTACTTCATTCTATTGCTTGGTCTGCTTTCTTGACATTATGCTCCTGTGCGAATGTAAGCCGATCCCGTACATGATTCGGTTTAAGATCAGGCTTCCTCTGTTGGACGTATGCTCTGATTCATTTCTGCAGTAGATTCTTTCGGACCGTCTCAACATGCACCTGCACTCCATCCGTTGCTTGGAGGAACCGTTGGCCTTTGCGGAGTGTTGTCAGCTGGCCAGTCTTGAATTCACGAGCGAGAACTTCCTTTGTCCTTGGGGAGACCTTGTCCTGTCGACCCACTTTGGGAGGAGGAATGTTTTCCTTGTTTTTCTTCCTGATGTTGACTGCAGATCCGATCGAGATCCCGACTGATTTGGCCACCTGCCTGACGGATCGACCCTGAATTAACTGTTGCGTGGCATCGTGTGTTTTGGAGGGTGCTGTTGGTTTGTTTTTCCCAGTTGGATTGTTTGGTTGTGGCGGCATTCTGATTGGTGGATGGAGGAATAAAAGAAAATAACGATGATGAAGAAAAAGAGTTGTAAGAAAGTTGATGTAGGAGCAGAAGAACTTGAAGATCGTGATTTACAATCAATCGATCAACCAAACCTTTTGAATTCAAGAATTTTTTCATGATGACGTCATTACCAATATGGGTCAGGATTGCATACAAGCATGACCACGAGTCGTGGGAATCATTGAGCGGCATTCCGGGCCTGATTGCAAAGATGATGGATGAGCATCTCAAAGAAAACGTCGAAATCGCGTTTTTGTTGATCAATTGATTGGAGCACTGTAGTTCCATTGAACGCGCAATAGAAAATTTTCGCAGATTCAATTTTCCTTCGTTGAATAACCTCCACGAAGGAAAATTGATTGAAGGAAAAATGAGTGTTTCGCAGGAATTTTTCAGTCGTACATGCTGCGGTCAGAAGAAAATAGGCTTCTGACCCCAGCATATAAATGGCCAGCGGCATTGGTCAGTAATCTTTGTGTATAACTGAAAACACCTATCAATATTTCCAAATGTCGGCCGCACTCAGATTCCACCTATACCTGGAGGAGCTTATTCTCAATGGAGAGCTGGATGTGGACGTATTGTTCGACGATGTCAGCCAGGCCGCGGATGAGGATGTGGGTGAAGACGAGAATGAGGACGAGGATGAGGATGAGGATGAGGATGAGGACGAGAATGAGGACGATGCTTTTGGGGTTTACCATGAACCAGGACCAGAGGAGGAGCAGGAGATAGAGGTGGAAGACGACGACGTGGAAAATGGCGACGTGGCGGACAACGGATATATACGACCGCCATTGTTTCGTGGGTCATTCCTACCCGGCGAACGATTCAATTTACTGCTTGTGGATGATGAAGAGGCCAAGGAGCAACTACGCTTTTACAGGAACAACATTATTGACATCGTCGTTGCCCTCCGACTACCAGATCTGATTGTCACTCGATCCAGAGACAAGGTTTGGTCAGTTGAGGCACTTCGCCTTGTGCTCTATCGATTCGCATCTCCATCCAAGCTCAGTCGAATGTCGTCAGTATTTCATCGCAGTAGCGCGACGATCTCAAGGGTTATCAACTGCACATTCTTCTGGATCATGGAACATTGGCACAAGGTTCTTGACTGGGACACGCTCCGCCTCACTCCGGAAAACTGGAAGAATACGCTCTTTGGTGCAGCCTGAAGACTCGCGGCTTATGTGGCAATATTTTCGGCTTCATTGATGGAACTCGCCGTCCTATTTGCAGGTCATGTGTTGGGCAGGAAGGACAATACAATGGCCATAAGAAGCAGCACACCTTGAACTACCAAAGCGTGGTTGCGACGGACGGAATCATGATCCATTTGAGCAAGGCATTTGACGGCACCCACAACGACATCAAGATGTTTGCTCTGACAGGAATGGATCGCTTACTGGAGTAGCACGCATACAACACTCAAGGGCGGCCATTGGCGATCTTTGGCTACGTGCGTACCAGCTCGGGGCTCATGTTCTTGTCCAGTACGACGAGTATCCGGGTATGTCTTGCGATATATTAAGGTTTTATCATACGTACACAAGTAACTGATGAGACAAAGAGAGGGATTGTATTAGGCACACCAGGTACAGTCTATTATGCTGTCCCTGGTATGTAGCTTAAGGGTAGTCTAGTCTATTGTCTCCATCTATCTTAGGGTGCCATTAGGCGAATATGCGACAACTCCCTCCCAAGGGAAGGCTGAAAGCCGCCCTGGAAAGAAATCACGCATAGAGGCTTCATGGTTGAGGATTAAAAAAAACAAAAGATCCTCCTGTGCAATGGAGTGCACAGACTAATTAATTTCAGACCAAAAAAGCAGTGTGAAAAGGTCTTGTGGAGGTAAAACCACAGGGGAAAAATATCTTCACATATGGTTCAAGAGGAAAGCAGAAAATACCTCTTGCTATCATTCACTTCATTCTGTGATGTTATTTACGTTCGACCACGCTTGCGCGTGTCAGTAGTGCTGATCTCCTTACTACCCTCTTCGATCGTACTTCTTAACTGGCGCTTGCCACTGCGGTTTGCTGCTTGATCGGTGGCTCCGTTAGCATTATCTGCATCACCGCGCTTGCGCTTACGCCCTTGTTCGGCATCATTGGCAGTACTGTCCATAGCGGCCCCTTCATGTGGCTGCACCAAGCGTTGATCATATCATGAGTCGATCGGTCGTATTATGAGTCGACCGATCGTGCCAAGAGTCGACCGATCGTACCAAGAGTCGACCGATCATGGTCTGACTATGTTGTAGGACGCGACAGGTTTATACTTGTATTTTGCCACAACAGTTTTTAAGGTAGTTTATGTTACGGAATCAGGGGTTCGAAACGGGTGGATAGAGCGGTCGTTGCACTCCCAGTTGTTGATGGTTCTTGGGGATCCTTTTAAAATAAAACACGAGTTCACTCGTTGCACGCACTGAAAATGATGGTCAGCTAACGTTGGCCAGTTGCTCTGTGAAAATGTCTTTGGAAAAAGGCAAAGAGTAAAAGAACCACCGCGCTTCCCTTTTTCTACATACGCAGCAACTACATTAAGATGGTGGATTAAGGGGTAGGAATCGGTAACATTTGTGCTATAATCACGTGTATCACCAGGACGAAGAGTACATAAGGACTCTTCGTCCCTGAATTAAACAGACCCCTCTCTTTGTTTCGTTATTCATTTTCCATACCTACCTAAGTATCACAATCCCGGTTAGTATTTTCCAACATTGTTACAAAACTCCAGACCCCTACACAATTTCGACTTCACGGTAGTTAGCCAAACGTAGTTGCTGCACTAGTAGAAATAAGGTAGTACGGTGGTTCTTTTGCTCTTTGCCTTTTTCCAAAGACACTCGAGCAATCGACCAACGTTAGCTGACTTCGTTATTTTCTGTAATGGTTTTCGGGGCGTGTTTTGTGCTTTTGAGTGCTTTAATAAAAAGTGAGTTATGAACTAAGGGACTAAACTAGCATTGACTATCTGTATTTATGTATCCTTGGAACCCGCTTAGTAATCAGGGTTCCCGTGAGCTAGCCTTGTGACCTTGGCTAGACTTGTCAGCTCGGTCAGACCTGAGCAATCGAGTTTGGAGCATGGTTGCTCTTAGGGTTGGATTAGTCAGCATGTTACGGTATTGGTAGGTCTGCCAGTAGGTGGCGCGTAACCATGTTGTATATATCCAGACTTGATGAAATACAGGGTCAGTTTTTATTTGACGAAGAATCTCTATAAATTAGTGTGCTCAATAAACGGGTCAACAACAAGGACCTTCTTTCTCGTCTTTCTTTCTCACTCAATTTTGACTGAGTGACACTCTGACATTTTCAGTGTTTTATTCGAAGAACCAGAGACAACAACTGAGAGTGCAACGATCACTCTACCATCCGTATCGAACCCCTGATTCCGCAACAACATTTACTACATAAATGTTTAAGGGGTTTGTATATTTGCTAGATCTTGTTCATGTCATCAGGTCGGCTATAAAATATATGTACACTCTCTCTCTTCATCACCCTTAAGAAGGCATGGACAGTCATTGAAATACGACGCCCATAATGGTCACAGTCGAGTTGGTGTTGCATGCTTCAGATAGCGCCTGAGCTCCGTTCTCTCCGATCGAGTTGTTCCACAAGTCCAGAGTGGTTAGGGTCGAGTTGGCCTTGAGTGCCTCAACCAGCGCCTGGGCTCCGTTGTCTCCGATCGAGTTGCTTCCCAAGTTCAAAGTGGTCAGGGTCGAGTTGGTCTTGAGTGCCTCAGCCAGCGCCTTAGCTCCGTTGTCTCCGATCGAGTCGTTCCACAAGTCCAAAGTGGTCAGAGTCGAGTTGATCTTGAGTGCCTCAGCCAGCGCCTGAGCTCCGTTGTCTCCGATCGAGTTACTCTGCAAGTACAAAGTGGTCAGGGTCGAGTTGGTCTTGAGTGCCTCAGACAGCGCCTGAGCTCCGTCGAATCCGATCGAGTTGCTTCCCAAGTTCAAAGTGGTCAGAGTCGAGTTGGTCTTGAGTGCCTTAGATAGCGCCTGAGCTCCGTTGGATCCGATCGAGTTGCTTCCCAAGTTCAAAGTGGTCAGAGTCGCGTTGGTCTTGAGTGCCTCAGCCAGCGCCTTAGCTCCGTTGTCTCCGATCGAGTTGCTTCCCAAGTTCAAAGTGGTCAGGGTCGAGTTGGTCTTGAGTGCCTCAGACAGCGCCTGAGCTCCGTTCTCTCCGATCGAGTTGTTCCACAAGTCCAAAGTGGTCAGGGTCGAGTTGGTCTTGAGTGCCTCAGACAGCGCCTGAGCTCCGTTCTCTCCGATCGAGTTGTTCCACAAGTCCAAAGTGGTCAGGGTCGAGTTGGTCTTGAGTGCCTCAACCAGCGCCTGGGCTCCGTTGTCTCCGATCGAGTTGCTTCCCAAGTTCAAAGTGGTCAGGGTCGAGTTGGTCTTGAGTGCCTCAGCCAGCGCCTTAGCTCCGTTGTCTCCGATCGAGTCGTTCCACAAGTCCAAAGTGGTCAGAGTCGAGTTGGTCTTGAGTGCCTCAGACAGCGCCCGAGCTCCGTTCTCTCCGATCGAGTTGTTCCACAAGTTCAAAGTGGTCAGAGTCTTGTTGGTCTTGAGTGCCTCAGCCAGCGCCTGAGCTCCGTTCTCTCCGATCGAGTTGCTTTCCAAGTCCAAAGTGGTCAGAAACGAGTTGGTCTTGAGTGCCTCAGCCAGCGCCTTAGCTCCGTTGGATCCGATCGAGTTGCTTTCCAAGTCCAAAGTGGTCAGGGTCGAGTTGGTCTTGAGTGCCTCTGTTAGTATTCCAAATTCCTTTACTCCGATCTTCCCACATGCCAGCTCACAGGACATCTTGCAATCATATGTTGATTTTTTTGGTCGAATCCCGAGAAACTTGATGAGCTCCTTTGGAAGAAGAATATGAAGTACTTTCATATTAGGGAGATCTCTGATACGGAAAATGACGTCATATTGTGTGGATGTCGGTAGTAGTTGGCTGGCGACGCCCGTCTGAAATTGTTGAAGATCAAGTCGAAGAATTGATACTCTTGATTTCTTGAGTGCATCCTCCAGTGCTTCAAGATCACTTGTAGTGCAGGCCCAGTGCAAGTCGATATCGAGCTCGTAGACAGATCTCGCCTTTCCCAGTGCCGAAAAGAACTTCTCTGCCAACACTCTTGACTCAAGTCTCACTTCAACTCTACCGACGTTTTCACTCAATGATCCTCCGACAGAATCCAACACGCGCAGGAACTCTTTGGCCGAGGTTTCTTGATAGTTCACGCGGTAGTGGTCAATGCAAACCCATTTGACATGTCCCTCATCCGTAACGGTTCTGTACAGGTTTCCCAACACCTTGTTTCCATCCTTGTCCTTCAAAAACGTGTCCAGCTTGCGTAGATCGGCGCCTTCCAATGCCTCCTTCTTTCCCGACGGCTCTGCAAACCCATCAACAGCTTCGCCTTCACTCACAGAGACCTTGTCCATCCAGTCTATGACATGATCCATTCCAGACTCGATGTTGTCCCTCAGCTGTTGTAGACCGGCGGTGGCTTGATCGATGGCGTCCAACCTGACCAGGTGAGAGATAGCTGGTACAGCCACTCCGGCAACCGAAACACCGAACTTGAGCATCTTGAGGATAGTGAGGACATAAGGGCCGTATTGCTGAAAGAACTCTGAGGGTCGGGCGATCTCGTAGCCTTCATGCTTAGCAAAATGGATATCATGAGAGATCTCGGTCTTGTTGTTGACCGACTTGGTGTGTTCTCCGCACTCGCATAAAAAGTAGAGGCGGAACTTGTTCGAGAAGGGATTCACGGTATCCCAACTTGAAGGGTCCTGCGGAAGGACAACAAAGAGACGAGGGATCGGGTACTCGTGGAGTTCATACGTCTGAATCAGCACCGCCTTGACACGGTCTTGAAGCATAGCCAACTGACCGAGGGCTTGGATCTGCAGCTGCTTCATCTCTTTTTGGTTGCTAAGGACTTGCTCCTGTAGCTGCTTCACTTCTTCCTGCTTGGCATACATTGCTTCCTGCAAGTCACTGTTCTTGGCCACCAAATCCTTCAGCTCCTGAAAGTGCCCACTCAGTTCTTGCTTAAACTCTGCTCGACTAAGCTCCCCGTGACCATCCTTGATAGCCTTGGCAAACGCCTGGCAGATGTCCGACGAGGCTCGAACTGTTTCTTGGACTTCAGGGGCCAAGAGGGAGATGAATCGCTGCTCGATCGCGAATTGACGTGCCTTTCTTGATGCACGTGTCACCACCTCTTGGAACGATGTGGTCTTGGAAGCAGCACTGGTGGCAGAGGGTGGACTTGATGATGTGTCGATAAGGCCAATGTTACTGACAGGCGTCTCTGGTACAGGTGGGGTAGTCCCGAAAGCAACAGTGACTCTGTTATTAACTGGAGCACCGGCTGGAGCATTGGTTTGACCACCGACTGGATCAAACTTCGAAGGGCCGGCAGGAGTAGGTTCGACAGAGGTAGACAAGACAACATCCTGGACCAATCGAGAACAATGGTTGATGCTACAGGGCATGATTCAGAGGAACGAAAACAGAATAAGATGTTTGCTCTTCAAGACCATTCGTCTCAATTCATTTTTACATTCCCTCATTACCTTTGTTGATCGGAACCCCGAAGAAACTTGATCACCGATTTGCCATTGTGAACGCGCTTAACTCCAGAAAAGACTTTCTCGATGTCCTCCCAAGGAACAGTGTTCTGTCCTTCAACATGATTGAGAGTGATTTCCACGGTATCCGTGGTTTCAATCAAGCGAAACGATTGAGTATCCTCCATTGCTCTCTTAAGATGAATTGCGGGCGGGGATATGGGAATGGAGAAAATAGCGACTATGTGTGAGAATAGGAAAGAGGGAGAATGCGTGTATAGGATGAAGAGTTTGGAAGAAAGAGACAAAATTCCAGAGCGGACTCTTTTAACTTGAGAAGTGGGCTGTGCTCCTGCTTAATATAGCACCTGGGCAGTGCACAAAGCTAAAAAAAATTGTTTCACCGTAGCTTCTCTTCACATGCGTCTTTTCTGTCTGGGTATAAATACACCGCCACCTGAAGAATACTTCGACCACGACCTAATCTAAACCTCAAACCGGGCCTCGACTCAATTGAACTGCGCAAGACTCTTTGACCACGCGTCCGTCATTACTTGCTTCCAAGATTTTTATGAAGAGGAAAAAGTCCGTTTAAATCACATGGCTCGATAACAAATCACATGCTTGTGGCAGCCAAGCGTTCATAGCAACGTTGCTTTTTGATCCCTCGATGTCGGCTCTTTCTCTAATCCTTGCAGAGAATTCTAGCACCCCAGCGTTGAGTGAAAGTTCGCTGTTCTTAAGGGGTCGTAAAGTCTATGGTATGCACCCAAAAGAAATGAGAGGGAAAGGGAGGGTCAATCAAAGAAAGACAACAGGATCAGAACGAAAAAAGTTCAACGGAATGCTGGAAAGAGAGAGAGAAAGGAGGAGTATAGAAAAAATCAGAGGCATGCTAGGACACTGAAAGATCAAGGGCGTGTGTTTATTAGATACAAGACTACCGGTCTATCTTCTAGCGGGGGCTGTCCTTTATACTAGCAGGATACTGATCTTGTCTGATCCCCTTTGTTCCAGTCTCTCAACATCCCATTCCTCAGCCCACTTTCCATATCTCGTTGCATTCAACGACATATCATTCAGCTTCATGAGAGGTCTTAATTGAAGCGACTCGAAATGCTAGAGTAACATAGTGAGCTGGGGAGGTTCTATTTTAGCGGCCTTTCCAAGTGCAAAGGATATAAAAAAGCATATAAAATATATCCAAAGCCCAAGGAATGCAGTGTAGACTTCTAGAGCTGATATATCTCTTCACAGTCGGCAACAGCTAGTAGGATAAGATAGCAACAGACAGCTCAAGATTTTTTAAAATGTAATCTCTCCCCTGTATTTCATAGCAAAGATACAGTTGAGAGTACAAGTGCCTTAGATGATCACGTATAAGAACTACTCCCCTTAATCTTGCAGTGAGGGGTACAGTTTAATAGTAGATGGACACATTCAAGAGATTGGTGTGCGAAAAATAAGAAGACTGTTGTTTGGAGAATATCATGGTGTTTAGTAGGATAATTACACAAGAAATGTTACAGTGGTTGTTTTACATGGTTGATATCATATATACACTCTCCTTTAATAGTCGCGGTGGATATCAGCAAGATCTACAGAGATGTAACAAACACCATATGATAATTTGAAGTTGAAAGGCCTCCTTAATACATTTATTGTGAAGGAAAAAAAAGTTGGAGAAACTATTTTAATACATTTATAGTGAAGGAAAAAAAAGTCGGAGAAACTCGTCTTTAGTATATTCCCTGAACGAGTTGTCCTTGAACGAGTTGTTGATGTCTCTCTGCTGTACAATATGGTTGTACCCCTTCTTCACCAGCACGTCGTGATACAGCAGTGTCACACTCTTGCCACGGTCAGCAAACACGGACACCATCACATACGTAGGAGCAATCGTCACCTCCTGCGACTGTCGAGGCGCTATCTTCAGCTTGGACACCTGCTCCTTGGCGACACCAAATCCCAAATGCAGCCAAGCTGGCCAGACGAAGCGGCCTGTCTTCATAGCTGTCACGAGCTCCTGAGTGGACATGATGTAGACCCCGATATTCGTGTCATTTGTGAATCTGATTTCATCCCCATCGTCTCGGAATCTTCTGGTGAATCGGTATCGGTATCTAGGTGGCGAGATGTAATGGCAGATGACGATGCCGTAATCCTTGGGGACGTTCCATCGTCTGAGGATGCTGTAGTATTTGGCCGTGCGGAATCCAGCATTGCTTAGCTCTTTGTTAAAAGCAGCGAGCATGGTTGTATTGTTGTAAATGGTGGGATGTCGCTCGGCCCTCTCCATGTCTTCTACACCTTTCTCAACTTCCTCCAGAGCCCAGACAATACTGTCGAAACGGCGATCAATGCTATCAAAACCTTCCGGATTGAAATCCCTAGGGTCCTCCCAGTCCACTTTCGTCACGGTCGACATGTCTCTGCGGGGGTGGTGGTGAGTTGGTGGAAGGCGTTGAGTTGAGGAACGATTCGAGCAGGCAGGAAAGGTGTATTGTTGCAACAAGACTGGGCTAGGGTTATGGGGGTTCAGAATGTTCAAGTGTATCAGAGGGTTCAAGGGTGGTGTTCAAGGATGGGGAGGAGTGGCTATTTATATTAGAGGCTACTTCGTTGCGATACCTAGAGTTGACACAAAAGTCGATGTGGAGAAATATGCGAGACCAAGGTTTCACAAAATCTATTTCAGTTGTGTTGCTAAAATATTAAAGGAGCTTAGTGGTGCATTCCGTGACCACTGAAAAGCTTTCACCAAACACCAAGCTCGCGATCCCGAGGACAATAAATAGCTTGTTCATGGTGAGAGATAAGGACTCAGTGTTAAAGAGAAAGACAAGACACCAAAGTCTACAATTGGAAACAAGGTGCGATAAAATAAGGTTTAGACTCACTTTGTATGTAACGAGACAAGAAGAAGGTTGTATTAGGTTGTATTAGGGCCCACCAGGAACGATCTCTTATGTCGTTCCTGGTGGCTTAGTTCTAGCTAGTTCATGTCTTCATCTATCTATGATCCACAAGGCAAAAACGCAACACAAGGGATCCAGGCCCAGGTCTAAGGTATGGCCGAGTCTAGTCGCGCAGCTAAGGGGGGATAGCCAATCGTGGAATAGATACATATGTAAGGCGAGATTGACCAACACTGTCTGTCGACTATGATTTGGGTAGTGCGCATAGTGAATCTAATTATTTTTTTTGTTTCACCTCACTATTTGCTTCACCTGATAACGATTTTTTTTGCTTGTGGCTGCCAAGCGTTCATAGCGACGTTGCTTTTTGATCCTTCGATGTCGGCTCTTCCTATCATACTGAAGCAGAATTCAGTAAGCGTTGGATTGTTCACCCACTAATAGGGAACGTGAGCTGGGTTTAGACCGTCGTGAGACAGGTTAGTTTTACCCTACTGATGAAATGTTGTTGCAATAGTAATTGAACTTAGTACGAGAGGAACCGTTCATTCGGATAATTGGTATTTGGGCCTGCCTGAGCAGGCAATGGCCCGAAGCTATCATCCGTTGGGTTATAGCTGAACGCCTCTAAGTCAGAACCCGTGCTAGAACGCGACGATTACCGCCTTTTCCGATTTTTAGTTGAATACGAATAGAGTCTCCCGACGGGGGATTCCTGAATCATACAACGTAGGGTTGTCTTGCAGAGCGGAAAGGCTTTGTGAGGCTCCTGCTAATGTTAATTTCAAATATTGGAAGAGATATAAAGCCATTGCAGTATAGCATGTCACAACTCCTCATGAACTACTACTGCATTCTACAAACTAGAGATGAGCATGATATTTCGCCCATTTATCTGTTGGATAGATGCCTTGTTACAGTATCGCATCTAGCCACCTTCCATCTAACCACATCCCCATTGTTCCATAGCTCCATCTAACCACATCATCATCTAACCACATCACCACCATCCCGGAGCCCATAGCATAGCATACATAAATACCCTGGCTTCCCCTGTACAATAAACATCACCCGTTTCTGCCTTCTGCTCTTGTCCGCTACCCTCCTTCTGTTGCTATTACATGCCTCCACTTTGGGAATGCATCTACTATTGCAAATGTTCAGGGTGTAGTCTCTGTCTATGCTTCTCCAAGGTACTCTCATCTTCTGCTGCATCTTCTGCTGCATCTTCTGCTGCATCTTCGCCGTGGAATGCAGGAGGAGATGTACCACTGCAGTCATCATCTCTTGCTACTTCATCTCTTGTGCAGTATACATTGCAAGTGCACAAAGATATATGTCGACTGCAGTTGCACAACTGGGGTTGGCAGAGCACTGGATATTTTTAAAATCCGCCATTGCCTGCCTTGCATGAAAATGGACCCCTTGCAGTGATTCTTATCGAAACGAGAAAAGTGAATTCGTTTCGTTAAGCCCGTACTAAGTACCTGTAAGTGGTCTTAACGAATGGGTTATCGAACTGAAATCCGGTTCGTTGAGAAACACTGGCCCCTTGGTTCGTAATACATCTAACTTTCAACTCCGAGGAAAACCTGCTATGATGAGTTGGAGATGGCGCCAAAGACAGACAGGCTGATTCAATAGGGTTTCCGGATGAGGGCAAGAAGGATACAAGAATGGTATATTTGAGATTTCAAGGTAAGGAGATAAGAGTGGCAGCAAGGAGGACTATATGAGCTAGAGAGGGACAAGAGTCGATGGGCACTCCGGCTCTCCAAGGAGGTATTCATCTGTGAGACTTTCAGGCATCTCTAGCAAGCGAAAAAAAAGCATGGGAGCTTTAGTACTAGTTTTAGTGGTGCATTCACAAAAATAAATAACACAAACATCGAGACAGTTTTGACTACTTTAACACCCACAAGCTGCAAAGACTTACCTTCTATACGTCCAGCTGTTGAACGGGCGAATATACTGTGAACGAGCTCGTTGTCATCTTGCTGTTTCTCAACTGCTTGAACTTTGATGCTGCAGACACCACGGTACTCATTATGTTGCCTGCAGTTTGAAGAGTTATCACTGGTTTTGGGTCGCCCACAGCTCCGCGCTGTTGGAGTAGCCTCATGTTAACCCTGCTCAAGCCTTGCGCGTCTTCCATGGATGCGCCTGACACAGCAAGTCTGTCATGTGCCGAACTCCATTGCAGGAGCGACTGAAAGATGCCCTTCTCTTCAATGATTTGCCACACGCGAACAAAAGTATCACCGCAGCCGGTTACCAAATAGGTGTCGCCGGGAGTTGCTTTCCAGGCAATGGAGTTGATTGATCCATGAAAATCCTTTACAACTACTAGACATCGACCCGAATTCGCATCCCACAGACGCACTGTCTTGTCGTCACTGCCCGATGCAATCTAGTGACCACTGGGAGAATAAGCCACGCTCTTAACAGCGTTGGCATGGCCGCTTAAGACGGGGCCAGGTGCGCCGGTTTGCGTGTCCCATAGCCGCACAGTCTGGTCCCAACTGCCCGAAGCAATCTGGTGACCACTGGGAGAATAAGCTACGCAATCAACATAGCTGGTATGGCCGCTTAAGACGGGGCCAGGTGCGCCGGTTTGCGTGTCCCACAGCCGCACAGTCTGGTCCCAACTGCCCGAAGCAATTTGGTGACCACTGGGAGAATAAGCCACGCTGTAAACATAGCTGGTATGGCCGCTTAAGACGGGGCCAGGTGCGCCGGTTTGCGTGTCCCACAGCCGCACAGTCTCGTCCCGACTGCCCGAAGCAATCTGGCGTCCACTGGGAGAATTGGCCACGCTCATAACACTCAAGGTATGGCCGCTTAAGACGGGGCCAGGTGCGCCGGTTTGCGTGTCCCACAGCCGCACAGTCTCGTCCCAACTGCCCGAAGCAATCTGGCGTCCACTGGGAGAATAAGCCACGCTCATAACATAGCTGGTATGGCCGCTTAAGACGGGGCCAGGTGCGCCGGTTTGCATGTCCCACAGCCGCACAGTCTGGTCCCGACTGCCCGAAGCAATCTGGTGACCACTGGGAGAATAAGTCACGCTCATAACACTGCTGGTATGGCCGCTTAAGACGGGGCCAAGTTCGCCGGTTTGCGTGTTCCACAGCCGCACAGCTTTGTCGTCACTGCCCGAAGCAATCTGGTGACCACTGGGGGAATAAGCCACGCTCCTAACACTGCTGGTATGTTCTTGTAAGGTGTGGGTTTTCGTCCAAGTCAAGGTATCGTACACACTGATCGTGCCGTCTGCAAGGCCAAAGACACAGGTTTTCCCGTTCGGCGAATATGAGCAGCAATACACCACATCAAGCTCCTGTACATACGGCCATTCGCCAAACTGTACGCCTGCCATCTGCGCCTTGCTGAAGTCGGCCTGACGTATCCATGTGTTGCGAAGATTTGCCTTCCTCAAATCTGCCCCTTCCAGCTGAGCGAAATCGAACTGCCCGCCACTCAAATCAGCTCGTGGAATCTGGATGCCTTTCAAATCCGCCCCATTAAATCGTACGCCAGCTCTGACCAAAATCGTGATGGCATTGGCCGCTGCCTTACGCATCGCTTTGTTGAATTTGGATTGTTCAATCATAGCGAGAAGTTGGTCCTTGAAGAGTGGCTCTTGCTGCACGCGGTCGGATAAAAAGTCCAGAACGGAGGGCTCTGCCACAAAACTTCTCCACGACAAAGGATGATCGGCTGTACAAGGCTGGGTTGTGACTGGCTCGACGTCCTCCTCTGGCACCAGTTGATCGTCAAAGCTGAAATCAGAGCTGACACTCCCCCGTCTAGCTGGAGCTGCAGCTTGAACGGATTTCTCCTTGCCTTCCTGGGGTTCAAAGACTGAGCGTGCAAAGAAATACTCTAGCAGGGACTTGTGGATGAAACGGTACTGGATTCCACTGCGTGTAAGCGGACTGGCTTCCAGCAAGAGCCGACTCTCATTCTCTCGGGAGAAGAATGCTTCTTTCCATTTCCCATGGTCTTGTTTACGGGAATAGGTCACCACAGGATTGCCCGCCTGGTTCTTGTAGATTGCACTTGCCATGTCCTTCAAAAAACTGATGCCGTTCTGAGTAAAGCCTTCATCGGTCAATCTGTTAAAGTCGGCTCGTGCTTGTGGGTTCAGGTCCTTGTTCCCAAGTCGTTTTTTTCCTTGCTCCAGCCAAAGCCCAATGAATTCGTCATACAGAGTGACCCACGTGACCCTGGTGGCCTTGAGATTATTGCCTGGATCCACGAGTCGGGGCAAAACCTCCAGAGAAAGCGTCAACAGGAATGGATTCTTGACCAGCTCTTGAAGACTGGGAATCTGGTCGAACACATCCGCGTACTGTTTCGTGGTCCACAGCGGCGCCTTGGTGATCACATACTTTGCCAAGTAGTCATTGACTTGGGCCCTGGAGAAGGGAGTAATGACAGCCTCTTGAAACTGTGTGGTGTCGGTTGACGGCTGGAAGAGATCGCGATAGTCCATCCCAATGTATTCGCTACGGCAGCTGACCACCATCTGCACCTGCCATTCTCCTGTCTGGTTCAGGCGGTTGGTCGTGTACAGATTGTGTTTCTCTTGACTCTCGTCGTATCCATCGCAGATCAAGACAAACTTGCGCTGGGTCTTCAACTCTCGAATCTGAGAATCAGAGAGCTCAAACTTGCGCAGTTGCTTGGCAATCATATCCTGTTCTGGTCTGTCGATGGCAGACAGGTTGATGTAAAGTGGGATCCGGCTGTGGCTTTCTCGTACTTTAGCCACAAGTTGTGCTCGATCTCGCGATTGAATGTTGACTTTCCCGATCCCGAATCGCCAAGTAGAAGCAGCACCTTCTGGTCGGTGCTGGCTAGGAACTCCTCGACCTTTTCCGTCAAGGCAAACAGGACGTCGTCCGACGCTTTCAAATTGGCCTTGGCTTGAGGGGGGATATAGACGGCATCTCCTCGCTCCTTCAGTCTCCGCTGCCTCAGCTTTCGCAAATCTTCCTCGACATCGGGCTTGTTCTGGACGCGATCTAGCAAGGTTAGGGGCGCGAATGGCGGCTGTGAGATCTTCAATGGGTGTTTGCTGGGACCCTGCTCCAGACAATCACTGTAAAGTGCTTGCCTTGCTTTATCGCCATTGCGTCCCAGTCTCTGCAGCACTTTTCTGGCAGTTGCGCTATCAAACGCTAGAGAAAATAGAAGATAAACATGCAGATGCTGCCAGATCGCCATTCATGCCATTGTCTCGTGGTCGTTGACAATGTAATTGCTTGCCACATCAGATCTTCATCACACACATACCTTGGATGGCGTTCTCAGACTGCTGCTGCAAGTGTAAAAGGATATCCAAGATCTTTTGCTTGATGTGTTCGTGATGGCCCCAGACGGCATCATTCTGATAGATCTCCGCCAGGAACTCTAGTGCGTCCTCACGCGACTCTGCATCCCAGGCTGTATTGGCTGCAAGATCTCCTAAGCGCTGGCACACTCCCCACTGAAAAGCAAGGCTGCGTCGGCATGGAGCCTCGAGGACGAGGGTCCTGAACTTGGAGAGTTGGCCGTCCCGGAGCACCCTGTCTATGCCTCGCAAAGCCGAGTACCAGGAACGTTTGCTGTCAAAACTGAGACCATCTCTGAGTGCTTCAAACAGGCCCTGGCCACTGTCTACCAGTGCAGTGACATTGTTGTAACCATCTTGGAGAGTTTGGAAGACCTTGACCGCTCCATCCAGGGAGGCCTTTCAGGTCCAAGTTATCATATGGTGTTTGTTACATCTCTGTAGATCTCGACAATATCCATAGCGACTATGGGATGAGAATGTATATATGATACCAAGCATATAAGACAACCATTGTAACATTTTTTGTTCAACTATCCTACTAAACACCAACCTATTCTCCAAACAACAAAGTCTTCTTATTTTTCGCACACCACACTCTTGAATATGTCCATTTACTATTAACCTGTAACCCTCACTGCAAGATTCGCCAGAGTAGTTCTTGTATGTCATCATCTAAAGCACTTGTACTCTCAACTGTATCTTTGGGGCGAAATACAGGGGAGAGATTACATTTTAAAAAAACATGTGCTATCTATTGCTATTTTATTCTGTGTTCTGTTGCCCACTATGAAGAGATATGTCAGTTATGGAAGTAAACACTCCGTTCCTTGGGCTTTGGATATTTTTTATATGCCTTTTTATATCCTCTGCACATGAAGGGGCCGCCAGGCCGTCTTCGATATGGAGGCCTTTCAAGTCCAAATTATCATATGGTGTTTGTTACATCTCTGCAGATCTTGACGATATCCACCGCGTCCATTAGAGGAGAATGTATATATGATACCAAGCATATAAGACAACCATTGTAACATTTTTTGTTTAACTATCCTACTAAACACCAACCTATTCTCCAAACAACAAAGTCTTCTTATTTTTCGCACACCAAACTCTTGAATATGTCCATCTACTATTAACCTGTAACCCTCACTGCAAGATTCGACAGAGTAGGTCTTGTATGTGATCATCTAAAGCACTTGTATTCTCAACTGTATCTTTGTCGTGAAATACAGGGGAGAGATTACATTTTAAAAATTCTTGTGCTGTCTATTGCTATTTTATTCTGTGTTCTGTTGCCCACTATGAAGAGATATGCCAGTTATGGAAGTCAACACTCCGTTCCTTGGACTTTGGATATTTTTTATATGCCTTTTTATATCCTCTGCACATGAAGGGGCCGCTACCGAATAAAATATAAAAATATATTTGTATTCTCAACTATGTGCTTGCTGTATGATAGATACCATCCTACATGCTGTTGTGTATACAGTTAAGTATAAGCCTTTTTAAAAAATTGTTATTGTTGGTTAACGTCATGACAATCCAATACATAAATATTATTATGGATCTAACAAAACACTTCCAACAACTGCTTGATGACCATTGGACTTTCCTCAACGCTGGATGGCCAACAATTACACCACGTAATAATCATCGTACTGTAAGCAAGGAAATTGGGTATATGCCAGAAATAAAAGAAACCCTAAATCGACGCCTTGGTCCTATTCCAGTGTACTTCTTTCTTGTTGACATCTGGCCAAAGGTTAAGTATCCTGGTCCATACAAAGAAGTGGAGAAAGGTCTTTTAATGCTCTATCATCTTGTCAAAGGACTGTCTATGGAAGCAATGGAACCACACATGCCAAAAAGTAGTTTTCATGCAATGCACTCTGTGTTTTATAAGAAAGAATATACTTTGCACAACAAGTACATCACCAACTGTATTGCAACAATGTTCTCCACAATTAAAATACGCCTTTTGTCTGCAAAGGAAAAGAATCCTCCATTATTTAAGCATGTTACATTGCATCTTGATGGTCATGATACAAGAGCAACATACAAAGGTGAGAGTAGTGCTGATATGTACTCTTACAAGCTGAAAAAGTCAGGATTACGCACACAGGTAGCAATGGATTGTAATGGCATGGCTTTATTTGTCTCCAAATCTGCATCTTGCAAGAACAATGCTGATGGAACAATGCTGCTAACGATGAAGTTGGACAAGAGAGTGCATGAGATGGATTGCATTGCTCTCGATGGAGGGTATCCACAGTTCTTAAGGAGGCTTATAGATGAGTCTGATACTCTTAAACTCCAAAATTTCGCTCATCCATACCGTAAACAGAAGAACAAGGAACTTACACAGGAAGAAGCGTTATACAATACCACCTTTGGTAGTTTCCGCTCGCAGATGGAATCTCTGTTTGCAGACCTTGGTTCCACATTTGAGAAACACAACAACCGTACTCCTGTGTTGGTGGATAAGAAACAAACATATAATTTGCAGTTGAAGTTATCTTTGTTACTCTTAAACATGAAAAAGATGGTTGCTTTGTTGAAGATTTCTGCAGAACCAATTCATACAGCTTGGCTTCGCGAAGGATTCGAGTATCCGACGACAGAGAACGACGTTGAGCAACCAATGGGATATGTTGATGTTGGTGCGCTAGTGGAGGATGGAAATACAATGGCACAACTCCAGAACAAATTTCTTGGTATTAATCATCATGGTGATGTTGATGAGGACCAGTACTCTGATGAGGACACACCAATGGATCCACCAGTAATACTGCAACCCGGCCTTTCCATTGCGCTTTGAGGTACGTAGTACGAAGCGACAAATGGATGTTAATGGTAATTTGTAGACTTATTGCAGGTTTTTAAAAGAATAGACATACATAGCCTATTTAGTCTGCGTTGAGATACGGTATTAACTGCCTAGACGCTAATATGCACCGGTATCTATTATTAAAAGTCATGGTATTATTGTAGTAGATCGGATGCTATTCTATGCTATTCTACAACATTCCTTTTTATTTAACAAAGAGGATAAACACATGTACAAACCTACGTCATAAAAGAATACATAAACACATGTACAAACCTATGTCATAAAAGAATACTATATTCTTAACCATTTTTAAACCCCGTCTTTAACGCCAAGCAGTCTTAATAAGCAAGATCTACGTCATACGAGGAACACTACGTTATTAACCACTTAGATGCCTTTTTAAAACTCTTTTGTTACTAAGCGCCAAGCAGTGTTAATAAGCAAGCGCTATTAATATCCAATGTGGCAGTGTCCCATGAATTAGTATAAATAAAGGACTCCACTTCCCTCTTGCTTAATCTTTATCTTATCTAGTAACCAACCAACCATTATCCATATCTATACAACCATCCATACCTATACAACCATCTTTTATTGCAATTCTTTATATCAGTGTACTAAGCAGCTGCAATCTACCACACATAAACTGAAAAGTCATTCACACCCACCATACCACAAGTACAATCTATATCGTTCATATCCAAAAACATGCAGTACGTTCAGCTTACAATCGAGCTCATCACCAAGGCCTTCGAGACATTTTCTTCTAAGAAGGGAGTGGAGTTTACCAAGAAAGATGCAAATAAGATCTTTAAGGCGCTTGATGAGGATGAGGGAGTAGAGAGATACTACTTTTGTGGTGCAAAGTGCACCAAGTCCAAGCGCAAATGCATGAAGGAAGTTGATGATGAAGGCATGCATTGTTATGTCCACGATCCTGCGCGCAAGTGTCAAGGCACAACCATTAAGGGCGCTAATTGTGGTAGTGTAGCCAAACTTGGTGAAACATACTGTGGACGTCATCGAGAGCAGCATAAAGGTCATATGAAAAGCAGTAACAATAAGGCACCTGCCAACAAGCGTACCAAGTCTTCCAAGATAACCAAGAAGACACATACTCCTGAGTTTGTCCCTTCAGATGATGATATGACTTCCGAGGATGAAGAACCAAAGAAGCGAAAGAGAAACAAGCAGGAGTCATCGGATGAGGAGCCGTCCGATGATGATGAAGAAGATATAATTGCCGTCTCCTTTCCGTTGAGTCCAAAGGTAGTTGACATAACGTCCAAGAAAAATGTACCACTCGCTAATACAGGCATATGGATGCGTTATGCAACTAATCCAGCTTTCCTGTATGCAAAAAACTATACTGTAAATGGCAAGTACATTATTAAGCTGAAGGAAAAGGACCTCTACATTGTATTGTGTCCACCTGAGCTCATGGGGAAAAATCTTCCTGTACCGAAATTATCTGACAAAGAGGTACGTATATTACAAAAGATGGGACTCCAAGAGGCAACTCCTGCTGATGTAGAAAAAATAGAAGAGTCTTCTGCTGATGAGAATTCTGACGATGATACAGATGATGGTGATACGTCTGATGATGCTGGCTCTGACGATGATTCCCCTGATGATAAAGACTCTGATGATGGCAAGTCCAATAACAGACCTGATGTAGAATCTGGAGATGATACCTCTAAGGATAACCCTGATGAAAAACTATCTCATAAAAAGTCATCTAAGGATGATGAGAAGAAGACTTCTCGAAAGAAAAGGCATTCAGAGATGCCCAAAAATGCAGAGCCATCTTCTAATGTAGACGTTTCTAAGGATGGAAAAGATGAACATACATTTGCACTGGCCACAACGGTGCATAACATTAGATCAGAGAAAGACATAGCACGTGCGAAGGACAGAGGATGGATGATTCATCCTAATAACGACATGCTTGAGTATGCAACTAAGTTTACGATGAATGGCAAGTACATTGTCAGGCTATCTGGAAAGAATACATACGTTGGCCTGTTTACGCTTGATGCTCTGCGCGGTGTCGGTGATGTTCCAGAGTTGGATATCTTGGAACGCTCCATGCTTAGCAAGATGAAACTTCAACCATTGTCTGATGAAGAGAGAAAGACGCTTTTCAACGAGGAGATCGAAGTAGAAGAAGAAGTACCAGTAGAAGGACCAACAGATAAATCCAAGGTGATATGGAAAAAACTTAACAAGTACTTGGAATATTCCGAGAATGTACTTGTAAATGGAATGCACATTCTCAAGATGCGCAAAAAAGACACTGTAATCGGCTTGATGACTGATGACCATATTGCTGCAGAGAATGTAGAGTGTCATTCTCTTAGCCAGAAGGAAAAAGAGAAGTTGTTTGCTATGGGATTTAAACCGCATGAGCATAAGCAAAGCTTGCCACAGAAAGATGAGAGCACATGTGAGGATGATAAAGATGCTGAGGGCGATAAAGATGCTGAGGATGACAAAGATGCGGTGGGTGATAAAGATGCTGAAGATGACAAAGATGCTGAGGGTGATAACGATGCTGAGGATGACAAAGATGCTGAGGGTGATAACGATGCTGAAGATGATAAAGATGCTGAGGATGATAAAGATGCTGAGGATGTTATGTGGAAAAGGTACCCTAAAGATAAAAGCTCCTCGGGTATAATCGTCATAGATAAAGACGAAATTAAATGGACAACATGTTCGTTTGACAAGAAGCATGAATATGCAACCAACTACCTTTTCGACGGATGTCATCTGCTCAAGAGGTACGAAGAGGACATTATTGTTGGACTGCTGTATAAGATACCTGCAAACGGTGACAGTAACTATAGTCGAGACAAATTTACCAACAACAAACAAAAGCAGAAGTTAATTGCCATGGGGTTCACGATCGAGGAATTGCCTAAATTGTACTCTCCAGATGTAAAGTTTTGGTAGTTGTTGAGACAGATGAAGAGTAGATATTTTAAAAACTATCCAATTGTCAACAGTTGGCATTTGTGGTTGTATATATAGCATGAACTTTTTAAAAATGTAACATGTCTTCGACACTTCCACCTAGGAGGCCTTTCAAGTCCAAATTATCATATGGTGTTTGTTACATCTCTGCAGATCTTGACGATATCCACCGCGTCCATTAGAGGAGAATGTATATATGATACCAAGCATATAAGACAACCATTGTAACATTTTTTGTTTAACTATCCTACTAAACACCAACCTATTCTCCAAACAACAAAGTCTTCTTATTTTTCGCACACCAAACTCTTGAATATGTCCATCTACTATTAACCTGTAACCCTCACTGCAAGATTCGACAGAGTAGGTCTTGTATGTGATCATCTAAAGCACTTGTATTCTCAACTGTATCTTTGTCGTGAAATACAGGGGAGAGATTACATTTTAAAAATTCTTGTGCTGTCTATTGCTATTTTATTCTGTGTTCTGTTGCCCACTATGAAGAGATATGCCAGTTATGGAAGTCAACACTCCGTTCCTTGGACTTTGGATATTTTTTATATGCCTTTTTATATCCTCTGCACATGAAGGGGCCGCTATGTCGTATGCCTTCCAGAAAGCTATCAATATCCAGGCCCTTCGCCGCCTTCACCAAACTGAAGACGCCCTGCATCACGTTTCCTGTGCGCCGTTTTGTGGCCTGCCAGGGGCTTTCGTTGTCAGGTACACACTCCAGAGCCTGAAAGGCATAGGCGGCCAGGTACACCATATGGGGGTCGGCGCTGCCTTTCAGCTTGTCGATATATCCAGAAAGGCGTTCGTGAAGAGTTACACGATCCAAGCCCTCGACCTTGCAGTCGGCCATGGCGTCCAGGACGCGCGACACGGCCAACATGAGCTGATAGATATAGCTTTGAGTTTGCGCGTGGGTGGTTTGCAAGCGTGTATTGAGGACTCCCAGGATCTTGACTAGATCAGCCGCCTCGAGGTAGCCCTCGTTCGCGCCCTGTACCAGCTTGGCCAGTCCCTCAAGAGAATGGATATCCAGCAAGGTGGATTTTTCAATGCTGCCGATAAACAGTTCCAGCAGGCATCGAAAGTCGTCCCTGTTGAGGAATGGGGCCAAGCATGCGACCTCCGCAATAGCCGTTGGACCCTTCAACTCATCTCGGATGAATGCGCGGACTAGATTCGTCGTCAAGGTGTTCAGCCTTTCCTGCTCGTCTTCATTGTTTCGTGTTGCTTGGACCCAGCTGAGGGCAGAGTTCTGACGAAGGTCGTCCGACGACGGCGGAGCTTTCAAGAGCCCAAGGCAATAGACAAGCTGGTGCGTGTTGACAAGACGCTCATCTGATTCTGGTAGCTTGTACTCGATTACAGGCGGGTTCTTGTCTTGGACAAAAAAGTCACCAATGACAGACACGTCGATATCAATGGTGGCCGATCTGCAGAGCGCTGGCTGAGTTGCGACGGAATTTGAAGTCTCGAGTGGCGGCTGAACTGCGGTAGACGCTGTGGTCTTGAGTAACCGCTGGGTTGTTTTGGTGGTCTTGAGTGACGGCTTGCAACATATTAGGTTTATCATTGCTCTCTAGTTAGTCATTCCTTGTCACTCTCTATCATCTCTGACTCACTATGACACTACACCTAGAAACCTAGTTGGCGACTTTGTATATATATTTAGTTGTACCACAGTAATAACATCAATCATCACTGCTTCAACTCTCGTCCCCGTTCTATACTTCTCTGTCCCAGTCTTCGCCTGTTGCACGGCTGAGCAGCGACAAAAACCGAGGCTTCAAGGGGCGGCTGAATCGCGATGGAAACTGCAGTCTCAAGGGACGGCAAAGTCGAGATGGACAACTCCTCCGCCTCGGTGTATCCCCACTCCTGTGCCTTCTTGTAGCTCTTTTTTGCTCTTTCCTGCTTCTTCAGTTCGTCCAAGAGTTTACTGAGCTTGACAAAAGCACAAGCGATACCATGGCGGAGATCCGTAACGTCCTGGACGGCCTCGGCGACTTTCACACCTTTCTTCATTTGGGATAACGATGCCTCCGCCTCCTCACATAGCACAAGCGCGATCTCGTGCTTCCCTTCCTCGCTGACGGTGCGGCCTTGCTCCAGATAAATGTTGACAAGCTCCAGCTCCTTCTGCGGCGGAAGGGGACTTCGCTTGGATGACACTTTGTTAAACATGTTGACCTGCGTGATCTGTTGTTAATGAGCAAAAGGGAATGGCGAGGTTAAATTTCAGTCTCGGGGAGGTTGACATGTGTAGGAGCGGGAAGTAACACAAACACACTTACAATGCTTGATGCGGCTATTGCTTGATAGGATGAAATGCGATTGAAAGTGCTGAATATAGCTGTTGAATGGGTAGTACGTAAGATAACGTGAATGAATGCAAGCAGTTCATGCGTTGAAATTAGAGTCACGTCAGAGTCAATTGACAAACGAAAGGGGGGTTGACGGTGGCCCTTACTTTTTGATTCTTTTTTCTCGGGTCTTGGAACGAGCTTTTGCTTGTTCTTGCGTCCGGCAGTTATGACGGCTGTTGTAAAACAAAAGGACGGATCAGCAAATGCAGTTCTTCAAAGATGACCAGCTATGTCCGGTTCAAGGCGAACAATTGTCTATACCTGCGAATAAACCGTCGTTCTTTCTTTTTTTTATGTTTTTTTGGTGTTTTGTTTGCGTGATGTCGGCACCGAGCTCTGTTTGTGTCTTTCTGGCAATTGTCGCTACCCTATAACGAGTCAGGTCAGAAGAAAAATAATTAGATGTTGACCCTTCTAGATCGGACCTTTGAAGTTCACAAGGAAAAAGAAGAGAGCGGGATAATAGAGAAATTGAGCACTCTGAAATTTTCACAGTGTGTGGCAGTGAAATTCCAAATACGTAGGTTTTTCTAAGCCACTGTGAACATCACTGTGAAATTTTCACTGGTTCGTTCACAAGCTGTGAAGATGGCTTCAAATGTTCATAGTGGTTGTTTTTGAATCAATTCTTCCACCTTTGCAATTGAAAAACCAACTTCACTGCCACACACTGTGAAAATTTCAGAGTGCTCAATTTCTCTAATAGGTCTCACCAGGGCTGTTGCTCGGGAAGTTTTCTGACCAGGAGAGGGTAATAAAAGACGTGCGGTCGAAGCGGAGGTGGTTGTTGGTGTGGTCGGTTTCCTGAAAGTTTGAGGCTCCTTGCGCTGAATCGTTACCAAGGTGGGAACGTAAATTCGACAAGTAAAGCAACGACAAGATATGGATGGATGAACGAAGGAGAAAGAGAAAGAGATGGTTTAAGAAACAGAAAGACACAAAATTTCAACGCAGACCCTTTGACTCGAAATTTTCACACTGTGAGGCAGTGCAGATCACATTATTTTCATATACGAAGGTAGATCTAAGTCGCTATGAACATTTCTGTGAATTTCTCACTGTTTCGTTCATAACCTGTGAAGATGGCCTCAAATGTTCATAGGGCTCTTTTTTCTGTCTCTTCCACTTGAAAACACATCACACCTCTCCTCTCCATAATCATGAGCTCAACACGGCCATCTTGTTCCAGTCAAGGTGTGAACGATAGAGATGGCCCTCGGGGGACAATCGAAGGGAAAATGAAAATAATACATGCGATTCGGCCTTCTTCCTTTGAATCTCTCTGTGAACCTTAGCAAAGTAAACCCTTCTGCACTGCCTCACACTGTGAAAAATTCAGAGTCCTCAATTTCTCTATGCTTTGTTATTTATCAATCATCGTTGCACAAATAGATTTCAAGGGAACTGAGGAAAAATTCCAGGGCACTTGTGGACCGATCACTTACAAAGTTACACAAGAATCGACCGATCACTCTGTATCCACCCTTACACTTGCTCAATGACATTTTGTCATCTGTCACTACTGTTTACTAATTGTCAACTGACGTTTTACTCTTTTGTTTTGCCAAATGTCGCCTCTGCCTTGTTAACAGGGATAACTGGCTTGTGGCAGCAAAGCGTTCATGGCGACGTTGCTTTTTGATCCTTCGATGTCCGCTCGTTCTCTCCTCCCTCATTATCATTCGAGATAGCGCCGTGATGCTTTGTTCGCATGTTAGACCTTGTAATTTATTAAGGGCATTTTAAAAATATTCTTTCCACTACTTCGAGTAATCAATATCTTTCACATGAGTATTCCTGTGCAACAGATTATTAGATTGCCCCCTGCTTTACCCTGCCTTGTTCCTATTCTCCCTGTGTCACATCCATACACTTCCCCTGCTTTCCAAACACCTTCTCTGCCTCACCACCGTCCACTGTAACATAGACATATAAATACTCCCCTTCCCTTGTACAATAAAGCACAATCATCACTGCTCCAATCTCTGTTCCTCTCTCGATCCTTCCTTCGTTCTCTCGATCCCTCTTTGACTGTTGCATCCTGGGCCAGCCGATCACTCGCTGTGCATTTTAAGCTCTATCTATGATTCTTGGAAGGAATTTCAATACCCTGTAGTTGGTGTATGATTATGCACAAATTTGTATGCCAAATGGCCCTTGATTTAGATCAGCGCGATAACTTAAGGGGGTTGAATACTATGGTAATGGCTGCTATTATACACCCAAAATGGCTACAGTCGAGTTGGTCTTGAATGCCTCAGACAGCGCCTGAGCTCCGTTGGGTCCGATCGAGTTGCCAGTCAAGTCCAAAGTGGTCAGAGTCGAGTTGGTCTTGAGTGCCTCAGCCAGCGCCTTAGCTCCGTTGTCTCCGATCGAGTTGTAACTCATTTTTAAAGTGGTCAGAGTCGAGTTGGTCTTGAGTGCCTCAGCCAGCGCCTGAGCTCCGTTGTCTCCGATCAAGGTTTTTTTTAAGATCAAAGTGGCCAGAGTCGAGTTAACCATTACACTCATAACTACATTGTCTTGTGCGGTTATCGATGATTGTGTTTCATAGGCAGATCTCTGAATCTCCAGGCGTCGTATAAGGAGGCCTTTCAAGTCCAAATTATCATATGGTGTTTGTTACATCTCTGCAGATCTTGACGATATCCACCGCGTCCATTAGAGGAGAGTGTATGTATGATATCAACCATTTAAAACAACCATTGTAACATTTTTTGTTTAACTATCCTACTAAACACCAACCTATTCTCCAAACAACAAAGTCTTCTTATTTTTCGCACACCAAACTCTTGAATATGTCCATCTACTATTAACCTGTAACCCTCACTGCAAGATTCGACAGAGTAGTTCTTGTATGTGATCATCTAAAGCACTTGTATTCCCAACTGTATCTTTGTCGTGAAATACAGGGGAGAGATTACATTTTAAAAATTCTTGTGCTGTCTATTGCTATTTTATTCTGTGTTCTGTTGCCCACTATGAAGAGATATGCCAGTTATGGAAGTCAACACTCCGTTCCTTGGACTTTGGATATTTTTTATATGCCTTTTTATATCCTCTGCACATGAAGGGGCCGCTACCGAATAAAATATAAAAATATATTTGTATTCTCAACTATGTGCTTGCTGTATGATAGATACCATCCTACATGCTGTTGTGTATACAGTTAAGTATAAGCCTTTTTAAAAAATTGTTATTGTTGGTTAACGTCATGACAATCCAATACATAAATATTATTATGGATCTAACAAAACACTTCCAACAACTGCTTGATGACCATTGGACTTTCCTCAACGCTGGATGGCCAACAATTACACCACGTAATAATCATCGTACTGTAAGCAAGGAAATTGGGTATATGCCAGAAATAAAAGAAACCCTAAATCGACGCCTTGGTCCTATTCCAGTGTACTTCTTTCTTGTTGACATCTGGCCAAAGGTTAAGTATCCTGGTCCATACAAAGAAGTGGAGAAAGGTCTTTTAATGCTCTACCATCTTGTCAAAGGACTGTCTATGGAAGCAATGGAACCACACATGCCAAAAAGTAGTTTTCATGCAATGCACTCTGTGTTTTATAAGAAAGAATATACTTTGCACAACAAGTACATCACCAACTGTATTGCAACAATGTTCTCCACAATTAAAATACGCCTTTTGTCTGCAAAGGAAAAGAATCCTCCATTATTTAAGCATGTTACATTGCATCTTGATGGTCATGATACAAGAGCAACATACAAAGGTGAGAGTAGTGCTGATATGTACTCTTACAAGCTGAAAAAGTCAGGACTACGCACACAGGTAGCAATGGATTGTAATGGCATGGCTTTATTTGTCTCCAAATCTGCATCTTGCAAGAACAATGCTGATGGAACAATGCTGCTAACGATGAAGTTGGACAAGAGAGTGCATGAGATGGATTGCATTGCTCTCGATGGAGGGTATCCACAGTTCTTAAGGAGGCTTATAGATGAGTCTGATACTCTTAAAGTCCAAAATTTCGCTCATCCATACCGTAAACAGAAGAACAAGGAACTTACACAGGAAGAAGCGTTATACAATACCACCTTTGGTAGTTTCCGCTCGCAGATGGAATCTCTGTTTGCAGACCTTGGTTCCACATTTGAGAAACACAACAACCGTACTCCTGTGTTGGTGGATAAGAAACAAACATATAATTTGCAGTTGAAGTTATCTTTGTTACTCTTAAACATGAAAAAGATGGTTGCTTTGTTGAAGATTTCTGCAGAACCAATTCATACAGCTTGGCTTCGCGAAGGATTCGAGTATCCGACGACAGAGAACGACGTTGAGCAACCAATGGGATATGTTGATGTTGGTGCGCTAGTGGAGGATGGAAATACAATGGCACAACTCCAGAACAAATTTCTTGGTATTAATCTTCATGGTGATGTTGATGTTAATGTTGATGAGGACACACCAATGGATCAAGCAGTAATAATGCAACCCGGTCTTTCCATTGAGCTTAGAGGTACGAAGCGACAAATGGATGTTAATGGTAATCTGTAGACTTATTGCAGGTTTTTAAAAGAATAGACATACATAGCCTATTTAGTCAGCGTTGAGATACGGTATTAACTGCCTAGACGCTAATATGCACCGGTATCTATTATTAAAAGTCATGGTATTATTGTAGTAGATCGGATGCTATTCTATGCTATTCTACAACATTCCTTTTTATTTAACAAAGAGGATAAACACATGTACAAACCTACGTCATAAAAGAATACTACATTCTTAACCATTTTTAAACCCCGTCTTTAACGCCAAGCAGTCTTAATAAGCAAGATCTACGTCATACGAGGAACACTACGTTATTAACCACTTAGATGCCTTTTTAAAACTCTTTTGTTACTAAGCGCCAAGCAGTGTTAATAAGCAAGCGCTATTAATATCCAATGTGGCAGTGTCCCATGAATTAGTATAAATAAAGGACTCCACTTCCCTCTTGCTTAATCTTTATCTTATCTAGTAACCAACCAACCATTATCCATATCTATACAACCATCCATACCTATACAACCATCTTTTATTGCAATTCTTTATATCAGTGTACTAAGCAGCTGCAATCTACCACACATAAACTGAAAAGTCATTCACACCCACCATACCACAAGTACAATCTATATCGTTCATATCCAAAAACATGCAGTACGTTCAGCTTACAATCGAGCTCATCACCAAGGCCTTCGAGACATTTTCTTCTAAGAAGGGAGTGGAGTTTACCAAGAAAGATGCAAATAAGATCTTTAAGGCGCTTGATGGGGATAAGGAAGTGGAGAGATACTACTTTTGTGGAGCAAAGTGCGTCAAGTCCAAGCGTAAATGCATGAAGGAAGTTGACGATGAAGGCATGCATTGTTATGTCCACGATCCTGCGCGCAAGTGTCAAGGCACAACCATTAAGGGCGCTAATTGTGGTAGTGTAGCCAAAATTGGTCAAACATACTGTGGGCGTCATCAAGATCAAGATAGAGGTCATATAAAACGTGGTAACAAGAATGCACCTGTCGTTACGCGTCCCAAGTCTTCCAAGGCTTTAAAGAAGACACATACTTCTAAGTTTGTATCATCTGATGACGATATGACTTCCGAGGATGAAGAGCCGTCCGACGATGATGATGAAGAAGATAAAATTGCCGTCTCCTTTCCGTTGAGTCCAAAGGTAGTTGACATAACGTCCAAGAAAAATGTACCACTCGCTAATACAGGCATATGGATGCGTTATGCAACTAATCCAGCTTTTCTGTATGCAAAGAACTTTACTGTAAATGGCAAGTACATTATTAAGCTGAAGGAAAAGGACCTCTACATTGTATTGTGTCCACCTGAGCTCATGGGGAAAAATCTTCCTGTACCGGAAATATCTGACAAAGAGGTACGTATATTGCAAAAGATGGGACTCCAAGAGGCAACTCCTGCAGATGTAGAAAAAATAGAAGAGTCTTCTGCTGATGAGAATTCTGAGGATGATACAGATGATGGTGATACGTCTGATGATGCTGGCTCTGACGATGATTCCCCTGATGATAAAGACTCTGATGATGGCAAGTCCAATAACAGACCTGATGTAGAATCTGGAGATGATACCTCTAAGGATAACCCTGATGAAAAACTATCTCATAAAAAGTCATCTAAGGATGATGAGAAGAAGACTTCTCGAAAGAAAAGGCATTCAGAGATGCCCAAAAATGCAGAGCCATCTTCTAATGTAGACGTTTCTAAGGATGGAAAAGATGAACATACATTTGCACTGGCCACAACGGTGCATAACATTAGATCAGAGAAAGACATAGCACGTGCGAAGGACAGAGGATGGATGATTCATCCTAATAACGACATGCTTGAGTATGCAACTAAGTTTACGATGAATGGCAAGTACATTGTCAGGCTATCTGGAAAGAATACATACGTTGGCCTGTTTACGCTTGATGCTCTGCGCGGTGTCGGTGATGTTCCAGAGTTGGATATCTTGGAACGCTCCATGCTTAGCAAGATGAAACTTCAACCATTGTCTGATGAAGAGAGAAAGACGCTTTTCAACGAGGAGATCGAAGTAGAAGAAGAAGTACCAGTAGAAGGACCAACAGATAAATCCAAGGTGATATGGAAAAAACTTAACAAGTACTTGGAATATTCCGAGAATGTACTTGTAAATGGAATGCACATTCTCAAGATGCGCAAAAAAGACACTGTAATCGGCTTGATGACTGATGACCATATTGCTGCAGAGAATGTAGAGTGTCATTCTCTTAGCCAGAAGGAAAAAGAGAAGTTGTTTGCTATGGGATTTAAACCGCATGAGCATAAGCAAAGCTTGCCACAGAAAGATGAGAGCACATGTGAGGATGATAAAGATGCTGAGGGCGATAAAGATGCTGAGGGCGATAAAGATGCTGAGGATGACAAAGATGCGGTGGGTGATAAAGATGCTGAAGATGACAAAGATGCTGAGGGTGATAACGATGCTGAGGATGACAAAGATGCTGAGGGTGATAACGATGCTGAAGATGATAAAGATGCTGAGGATGATAAAGATGCTGAGGATGTTATGTGGAAAAGGTACCCTAAAGATAAAAGCTCCTCGGGTATAATCGTCATAGATAAAGACGAAATTAAATGGACAACATGTTCGTTTGACAAGAAGCATGAATATGCAACCAACTACCTTTTCGACGGATGTCATCTGCTCAAGAGGTACGAAGAGGACATTATTGTTGGACTGCTGTATAAGATACCTGCAAACGGTGACAGTAACTATAGTCGAGACAAATTTACCAACAACAAACAAAAGCAGAAGTTAATTGCCATGGGGTTCACGATCGAGGAATTGCCTAAATTGTACTCTCCAGATGTAAAGTTTTGGTAGTTGTTGAGACAGATGAAGAGTAGATATTTTAAAAACTATCCAATTGTCAACAGTTGGCATTTGTGGTTGTATATATAGCATGAACTTTTTAAAAATGTAACATGTCTTCGACACTTCCACCTAGGAGGCCTTTCAAGTCCAAATTATCATATGGTGTTTGTTACATCTCTGCAGATCTTGACGATATCCACCGCGTCCATTAGAGGAGAGTGTATGTATGATACCAAGCATATAAGACAACCATTGTAACATTTTTTGTTTAACTATCCTACTAAACACCAACCTATTCTCCAAACAACAAAGTCTTCTTATTTTTCGCACACCACACTCTTGAATATGTCCATCTACTATTAACCTGTAACCCTCACTGCAAGATTCGACAGAGTAGTTCTTGTATGTGATCATCTAAAGCACTTGTATTCTCAACTGTATCTTTGTCGTGAAATACAGGGGAGAGATTACATTTTAAAAATTCTTGTGCTGTCTATTGCTATTTTATTCTGTGTTCTGTTGCCCACTATGAAGAGATATGCCAGTTATGGAAGTCAACACTCCGTTCCTTGGACTTTGGATATTTTTTATATGCCTTTTTATATCCTCTGCACATGAAGGGGCCGCTTAGGAGGCCATCCATGTTCGGCTCCACCAACCATAGACTACAGTATAAAAATATCTGTCAACACCTATTAAAACAGTGTGTTCCTTGAGAGTACAACAAATCTCATCAGCTTTTTCCTTCCACCAGTCTCCATTTTCTACATTCACCACCACTACTTTGTAACATCATCTACTTTAGCTGAGAAAGCCTTGGACATGATCATCTCATATTGGAAAGGAAATTACTATCTGTAATATCTAGGATCCAATATGAGATGATCATGTCCAAGGCTTTCTCAGCTAAAGTAGATGATGTTACAAAGTAGTGGTGGTGAATGTAGAAAATGGAGACTGGTGGAAGGAAAAAGCTGATGAGATTTGTTGTACTCTCAAGGAACACACTGTTTTAATAGGTGTTGACAGATATTTTTATACTGTAGTCTATGGTTGGTGGAGCCGAACATGGATGGCCTCCTAGTAGAGCATTTGTTTTCGTGTTTATATAATTAGCGATGGTTACTAATATCTCCTTTTCATGATATATCCTATGTGTATATCCAATATAGCACTCGTGATACTGGTGATGATGTAGTGGTAGTTTTAAAAAAAAGTTGGATCCCGATTTTTTTAAAAAGTAGCATAGTGGCTTTAACAAACATTGGTTGTTGGAAAGAAAGGGTAGCTGATACGTTTTAAATGGCGTTATTGCTACACTTTCTCAACAATCTTCGACATTCGACATTTGACATTCGGCATTCGATTCGACAGCTGACAAACTGTAGTTATTACCACAGTTATGATATTTGATATGAACGCATTTTGGATTACCTCGTGATTATTGTGATGTTTAATTTTAATACATTCTTGATAAACTCGTAAGTATTACAATGTTTAATGTTGACATACTTTAGGTAAGCCCACGATTTGCACGACGTTTAATATTATTACACTTTGGTTAACTTACAATTGTAATAGCATTTATTGTTATACAGATTGTAGGTAATTACGACAATGGTAAAAACAGAGATATCGCAATTAGACCATGTATTGTGGGTAGTTGTAGATATAACAATTATATCGTTTAAAATAGACGTTCTTAAAACACATCACATATTTTATAATGCAAATGGCTATTATATTACAACGTTTCTATTGCATTTTGTGTGATAACAAGATAGAAAAAATGTGTTGTTAATAGAGTAATTATATCGTTAAAAATAGACGTTTCTTAAAACACATCACATATTTCGTGATGCAAATGGGTATGAACATTGTAACATTTCTATCGCATTTTGTGTGATAATAAGGTAGAGAAAATGTGTTGTTAACAGAGTAATCATGTCGTTGAAAATAGACGTTTCTTAAAACGTATCACATATTTCGTGATGCAAATGGGTATGAACATTGTAACATTTCTATCGCATTTTGTATGATAATAAGGTAGAGAAAATGTGTTGTTTAAAGAGCAATTATGTCGTTAAAAATAGACGTTTCTTAAAACGTATCACATATTTCGTGATGCAAATGGGTATGAACATTGTAACATTTCTATCGCATTTTGTGTGATAACAAGACAGAAAAAAGAAGTTGTTAACAGAATAATTATGTCGTTTAAAATAGACGTTTCTTAAAACGTATCCCATATTTCGTGATGCAAATGGGTATGAACATCGTGGCGTTTCTATCGCATTTTGTGTGATAATAAGGTAGAGAAAATGTGTTGTTAACAGAGTAATTATGTCGTTTAAAATAGACGTTTCTTAAAACGTATCACATATTTCGTGATGCAAATGGGTATGAACATTGTAACATTTCTATCGCATTTTGTGTGATAATAAGGTAGAGAAAATGTGTTGTTTAAAGAGCAATTATGTCGTTAAAAATGGACGTTTCTTAAAACACATCACATATTTCGTGATGCAAATGGGTATGAACATTGTAACATTTCTATCGCATTTTGTGTGATAACAAGACAGAAAAAAGAAGTTGTTAACAGAATAATTATGTCGTTTAAAATAGACGTTTCTTAAAACGTATCCCATATTTCGTGATGCAAATGGGTATGAACATTGTGACATTTCTATCGCATTTTGTGTGATAACAAGACAGAAAAAAGAAGTTGTATAAATAAAAGTTATGTAGACTTAGGAAATGTCTATAAAATATCGTTTGTATACTTTGGTGGTTGGGAGAAAATTGGTGGTTACAAAAAAGTGCTCGCAAAACCGCCATGATGAAGTACTTTAACATCTGGTTGAGGGGCTTGCTCCCCTATCGTGTTTATCGTTAATAGTTTTAAAAAATCCAAAAGTGTGTTATATAAAGGAATTTTTGCTAATAGTTTACCAGGTTGTAATTACAGTCATGTCAAACTTAAAGCGCCTATTTCAACGGTTGTTAGAGGATGAATGGACTTTTTTGGATGCAGAATGGCCTACGCAAGAACCATCCAATAATCATAGGACTGCGTTGAAGCTAGTAGCACACATGAAAACTGTTAAAGACTTACTTATAAGAAGATTAGGTGCAATTCCTGTATTCTACTTTCTTGTAGTTATTTGGTCTCTCAAGCAGTATCCAGGTCCATACAGAGAAGTCGACAAAGGATTGTTGATATTGTACCACTTAGTTGCAGGCTTGGCAATGGATGGAATGTCAACCCACATACCAAAAAGTAGTTTCCACTCCATTCATACAGAGTTCTACAAGACTAACTATAATGTGCATTCGAAGCATATTAACCATGCACTTGCGAATATGTTCTCCACATTTCCTATACGCTTGATTTCTGCTAAACTCAGGAATCCACCACTATTCCCACATGTAACATTGCATTTGGATGGTCATGATACACGTCTTTCATGTGAAGAAAAGTCTAGCTCAGACATGTACTCTTACAAGCTGAAGAAATCTGGTGTAAGAACGCAAGTGTGTGTCGATTGCAATGGCATGGCAATACTAGTCTCTAAATCGCTACCTTGCAAGGATAACAACGATGGTACTATGTTGGTTGGTATGAAGATACATAAGCACATCCACGAGCTAGATTGTATTGCATTGGATGGAGGGTACACACAATACATTAAGAAAATAGTAGAAGAAACAAGCATGAGCAAGAAAAACTTTTGTTATCCAATTCGCAAAAGCCGTGGGAAAGATCTTGCACAAGATGAAACTAACTACAATAAGATTTTCGGCAGTTTCCGCTCTCAGATAGAAGCCGAATTTGGAGATCTTGGAGCAACCTTTGAGAAGCACAACAATAGGAAACCAGTGTTGGTAACCAAGATAGAAACATATAATTTGCAATTGCGATTGTGTCTCTTACTTATGAACATCAAGAAGATGGTGGCACTACTGCAGTTAAATCTGGAACCCATTCATAGTGCCTGGATTAGAGATGGCTTCGACTTTCCATATGCCAATGGTGCAATGGAACAAATCTTGGATTATATTCCAGTGGATGAGATGTTGCATGATGCACGAGATATAACAAAGTTACAAGAGCAGTTCTTGGAGATGACTACTATGGATGTCGAGGATAAACAACGGGAAGAGCCGACTAATAAGCGACGTGAAATTTTTGCAGGAGTGGAGATTCCATCATATAAGCGTACAAAGTAAGCCCATTGTAATTTTTAAAAACTATCTATTAGCATTCTTAACGTATATAAATATCCTTGAACCCGCGAACAGTTCTGCATTGCAATGTGGTGAAATTCATATACGGAACTTGGCCATCGGGATATTCTTCCAGCCATGCAACGATCTTTGTTTCTAAACTAAGTCCACATCGTACTTTAATACCATTGGACAATGTTGCAAAAATATACTCTTTGTTGTGATACATATCCATTGCAATTGCTATGACTGTATAGCTGGTATTTATTTCAAGTACATTATATCCAGCTTTGTATGTTGCTTTGTGGATAGCTCTATCATGGACTTGTATAAAATTCTCACCATTCATGTTTTCTAGATGAATATCAACAATTGGTGGTGCACCTTTGCGGATTCTTCTCTCAGGCCATTGGATCTTTACATTATCCACCTCCACTATACCCATATCCTCGAATTGTAAAACGTCATCATCGTAAATGTATGGGTACATGCCTTTATGTGCTCCTGCAACAAGTGTTATTGCTGTACATTCGTCAGGCCGTTTGTACTTGGTAACTGTAATATCCTTAATGCTATTCTCATCCATCTCAACCTCCAAAAAGTATATTGGTCTATCGTTGAAGCTATAGTTGGCTAACAACGTCATTGCTTCCTCTTTCTCGACATTGTTACGATATGAACCATACTTCTTACCTGTAACAGAGTTCCACCAATGGCAATATGCGAATGCCGATTTTTCACCCATTGTTACATGAATACCTACCATGGATGATATATTACCAACTATATACTTCCAATATGCCTTGTGTTTTACGCAGAAGGTGGGACATTCTTGGATCTCTTCCTTTATGGCATCCAAGACTCCTTTATAATAGGAGAATGTATATATCTCCTGTCCATAAAAGGTAAGTTCAAGTCTTGTTAGACCTGTTTTCTTCGCCTTTCGAAGTCTCTTATGTAGGTCCTTATCCACATCCATAACAAAATTTTCCATTCTTGAACCCAACGACATTTTTACTTCAGCACTCTCCAACATCTGTACAAGTTTGTTATAAACCTTACAACGGACCTTTTGGTCTTTTTCGGTAACTCCAAACCAAGAGAGACAGTGGTTACCAACCTTATGGAGATCGTCGGCAATATCCAAATCTTCTCCAAATCTCTCTTGAAGGTATTGCTGAAGAATTGGACGGCTTGTAACATATCTACAATCCGTAGCAATGTCTATATCATGGAGAATAACATAGTCAACCTCAAGCTCATAAAATATTGGTGGTAACTCGGAAATTAAAGAGATGGCCTCCAGTTCATTGAGCGTTACCTTAATGCTGAAATATCCTGCATGGTATAAGGCCGTACTTCTAAACTTTTTTCTATGTTTTTCTAGTAGTTTAGAGCTAAAAAAACTATTGTCTTTGATATAACCCTCGTTAACAACTTTAACCATGGAGTGGCTAACATCGAGGTCTTTAAAAGCTTCGCGAATATTGGAAGTGGTGTTTTTGCGCTGCTCGTCAACAAGTGCAGCCCGGTTGTGCAATCCCCAGAGTATTAAACTATCGCAGAATATCTCTGAGTACTTTTTCCAGCCAGTCTTCGGTTTGCCAGGCAATGCAATCTCTTTGCCCACATCAGAGATAAGATGGGCATATGAGTTCAGCGCCTTGTTAATGGATTTAGGTATAGCGGACATGTTGAAAAGCTT